TATATGCACGCACGCGCGCGTGTGTGTGCGAGTAACACGTATACATACGTGCGACGATGCCCTCGGTCGAGATATAGTTCCGCGGGAACTCGAGCAGAGAGGAACGGGAGAGAGAAGAGAAAGGGAGGAGAATAATAACGGGTGCGAGCGGTACCCTCCGCCGTTCAAGGAGAAGGAACCGTTATCGGAGGATAATATACCCCCTTTCCTCACGGCGCAGGTGCTCGCCGAGCGAAAAAAAAGAAAAGAAAGAAAGAAAGAAAGAAAGAAAGAAAGAAAGAAAAGAAATCGCGATGGATTATACGTCTTGCGACGATTTTTGTTACTATTAATTCGAGGAATTAATTCAAGGCCCCTCTTCCCCCCTCTCCCCTCTTCATCAATAAAATCGAACGATTCGTTCGAAAGCGAAGGAAGAAAGGAAGGAAGAAAGTCTCGAGGCGAGTCGAGTTGAGAAGGAAGGAATGGAAGCAAACGGATACCTCGACGAGGATAAAGTACTCGATCGAGTACCGGTTTTGCTTGCTCTCGTGCGAGCGAGCGAGCGAGCGATGTTACCCCGTCTCGAAGCAGAAAACGAGGCCAATTGCAAATTGCGGGTGCGAGCGGAGAGATATCGCGTAACGTTTAGCAACGACAGATTACTCGTCTCGATGCGTTATTGTTTCGCAACCCGGCCGAGGGGGGCAGAAGGATGAGGAAGAAGAGGAGAGAGAGAGAGAGAGAAGAAGAGAGCGAGGGAGGAGGGGAGAGGGGAGGAGCGGAGAGATTATCGAAGCGGGCAAAAGTGTGTCGTTAGATCGGTGAGAAAAAGAAAGAGAGAAAAACTCGTGGAGGCGGGAAACGACGCGTTTCGAAATGGCGCGAACTGGCTCGTACGTGTAAACGCCGTGTTTCGAACGCCGGCTCATCGAACGCCGTTTCGTTTCGCGGTTTGTTTGCGAAAAGAAAAGGAAAAAAAAAAAGAGGAGAGAAAAAGGAAGGAAAAATCCGATGCGGACGAGCCGAGCCCCTCCTCCCTCCCCCCCTCCCCCCTCCCGCCGCTCCGTTGAAAAAGCTGCTCGACGGCGGCGGCTCTCGCCCGTGGCGAAAGCGAGAGGCAACCGTGGTTCCTTTCCTCTCCCGTGCCTATTTTGCGTCGCACGAGTTTTGCACGCATTTACACGGCAAAAGCGAGCTTGTACGTGGGCACGTACGTGTACGGGAGAGGGTGAAGGAGGGAGAAGGGAAGGAGTGCGTAAGCTGGCGAGCATGCACGCGGAGAGAGAGCACCTGGGCATCTATGCGTCATTGTGGACGATAAAAAAAGCCGTAAGGCTGGCATAACGCAAGGAGAACGCTCCTCGACAAAACGAGGCGAAGCGAGAGAGACTAGCAAAGCTGGTTTGTCTTTTCCCTCTTCTCCGCTATGTGCCAGGGCCTCGTATGTAATATGCGGCCCGGTCACAATAGCGATCGCGCTAGCGTTCTCTCCGCCGATTTCTTTCCCCGATCCTCTCCCTCTCCCGGGAACACGGGGCAAGGAAGGAGAAAACCGAGTGGGAAAAGAGAAAGAAAGAAAGAAAGAAAGAAAGAAAGAAAAAGAAAAAAAAATCATTTTCGAGAGGGGGGAGGCGTGCACGCGTGTAAATCGGCCGGCTATCTGCCCAGATCTAAAAAGAACGGAATACGAAAAAAAGACGGGTATCCTTCTAGCGAGGACAAATTCGATGAGTTCGTAGGCGAGCGCCGAGCCGAGCCTTCAAGGCTCCTGGATCACGGTTCCAAACTCACGTTCAAGGATCGGCTTTGTACAGAGGAATTTTTATTGGCGTGGCGAGCGCGCGCCGTCTGACGCGCGCATAATATACGCGCGCAAACGGCTCGCTGAATTCTTTTTTTTTTTTTCCCCTCCCACCTCCCTTCTTTTCCTTCTCTTTTCTTCTTCTTTTTCCAGAACTCGCGGATCATCGTCTAGATAGAGAGAGAGAGAGAGAGAGAGAGAGAGAGAGAGAGAGAGAGAGAGAGAGAGAGAGAGAGAGAGAGAG